AGGTGGATGATAGATGATAGGTAGGTGGATAGATAGATGATAGGTAGATAGATAGATAGATAGATAGATAGATAGATAGATAGATAGATAATGAGGCTTGAGGCACAAAATCTATTTATCAGGTAGAGGCATTTCTTAGCTGTGGACTTGACTCCTAGTTAGCAGGTTTATTTAGTTATCCATGTGATTGCTTTCTGTTTTCTTTTTGTTAGTTGCTGTCCTGGTTGGGTTTAGATTTTTTTCTAAGTTTGACACAAGCTCAAGTCATCTGAGAAGAGAGTTCCTCAGTTGAGGAGATGCCCCATCACGTTGGCATCTTGATGGATGACTGATGTGGGAGGGCCTATCCCCTGTGCCACCTCTGAGCCATGTGGTCCTAGATTGCATAATAAGCAGGCTGAGAAAGCCAGTAAGCAGCATTTCTCCATGGTCTTTGGTTCATTTCCTGTCTTCAGAGTCCTTCCTTGAATTACTGCCCTCTTCCTCAGTGATGGAGTGTGACCTGAGAGTTGAAAGATGGAGTAAACTTTTCCTCCCCAAATTGCTTTCATCATGGTGTTTTATCATAGCAATAGAAAACAAACTAAGACAGTTGTAAAAATAATGCAGTCTCACTACAAGAATCTTTAAAAAAAAATACTGAAGATAAACGAAAGAATAAAATAGCACAAGTTCCACCACCCAGAGGAAACAGCTCCTCCTGTCAGGATGGCCTTCACGCTGACAGGTCCTTCACTGAACGAGGCCATGCCATATAGCACACTTCCGACGGTGAAGGAGTGCACATTACTGTTTTCACGGACATGTGACAAGCATTCCATGCTTATAGCTGAGTTCCCCAATGCATGGGACACATTTTTCCAGAGCCTCTAGCTCCCGGTGAAAGAACAGGTGTTAGTGATGGCTCACCATTACTCGTATACAGCGTGTGTAATCCTCCTAGTGCAGGGGTTCTCAACTTGTGGCCCCTTTGGAGGTTGAACGACCCTTTCACGGGGTCACCTGAGATCATCGGAAAACACAGATTTACATTACAGTTCATAACGGTACCAAAATTACAATTATGAAATAGCAACAAAAATAATTTTATCGTTGAGGGGACTACAACATGAGGAACTGTATCAAAGGCTTCCAGGGTTAGGATAGTTGGGAACCACCAGTCTAGTATTTTGAGGCAGGAAAACTGCTTGACAATGTGACACAGGGATGGTTCACAATTGATTCCTCTACAGACAGACATTTCCACGGTGTCTATGTTTGGGGTCACTGTGAACTGTGCTAAAATAAATAACCCTGGACATCCATATTTGTGCATTTGTCTACTCCAGAAGATTTTCTAGAAATGAAATAAGTTACAGTGAACTTTTATTATCTACCAGAGATTTTGGAGACACCAAAATCTAAAGTTCAAACCCCTCCCATAAAATAGCACAGTGTTTGTATATAGTTTACACCTAAGCTTTTGTAAACATTAAGCCATCGCTAGGTTGCTAACAATAGTTAATACAGCACAAAGGCTATACAAATTATTTATTACACTATCTTGTTTATGGAATAATGACAAAGACATCTGTACCTGTCTGATACAGGTTTTCTTTCTTTATCCAAATAATGTGCTATAGCACCTCTGTTATAGAACCTCTGCAGGTTCCCTGTAGGCAGGAAGGGTGTGGTCATTCCTCACTCCTGCACCTGAGACTGGAGCCATCTTCTAGTCAACGTTGCTTTTAGGCAAGAATGCTTGATGGCCGGTTTGCAATGAGTAGGCCCCTGAGGTATGCCCAGCACCTTAGGGCTGGGCATGGTGGACATACCTGCACATGTGGAGATTGGGCTCCCTAAGGAAACGCATACACACACACCTTTTCTTTTCTTTTTTATGTGTCTGATACATGGACTTGCTTCCCTTCATCAGCATTTGGGTAGTCTTGGTGGGTTTATGTCAGAAGATTTGGTCCAGGAGCTGTCTCTCGGCTCTGGAGCTCTTGCCTAGCATGTGTGAGGCCTTGGGCCTAACTTCCAGAACCTTCAGGATGAGATCCAAGGATCTCAGGAGAAATGCGTTAACTGATAATAAAGGAAGATTCATGAAGCATTTTTCTCTCATGAAGTGGCTGTGATATGCCCCATCTGGGACGCGTCCATTTTAGACATAAAGCCCAGAACTAGACACAGCCCTGCCTGGAGCTAAGAACAGAGTCGACACGTCTCAAACCAAAGCTATGAGGATATTGTTATCAAGTTTCCATGGTGGCGTTAAACCATTAAGGCCTGGCCTGTGGCCACATGCTAGATCCAGCTTCTAAAATCTGGAGTCGTGTCACCAAATGTGGTGGCTCCCAAGAAAGAAAGGAAAGAAAAAAGCGCAACAGTAAAGAATTTTTGAATGCAAAGCCATTAGAAATTAATTCAGTATAAGACACATAGTACACGGGACATGGCTTTGGCAGCACACACCCCTGCTTTGCCACGCATCTTGAACTTGCTCCGGGCGTGCCATCACACCACACAACATTAACTAAAATTCCCGACACACATGAGCTCAGATTCACATTGTTAGCTGTGCGCACAGAATGTAATGTTCTGATAGAAATATACTGGATTAATTATAGAAAATGAAGGCTTTCCATATTGAATATTTTCTTTCCATCATTTTTAGCATATAAGTATCAAGTTGATATATCTTTAGGTTGCTTTGTGTTAGATTGTTTGATTTTTAAAATGGCTATTTGAGTTGCTAACTTGAGTTCCATCAAAAAAATTATTAGGTTTTAGGATTAGAACTGAATTTCCATCAGTTTCTTCAATGGCCCTAAATATGGTTCTGCCATTTTTGTGTATGACATATTTATTCAATGCAGCATTTGATCATTGATTATTAAATCAAACTGCCTTTCAACTCTGAAAAATTTTGAAGATGCTTCGTGTCCTACAGTATTAAATATTCATCCAGGATTTAATTCTTATATTAAAAAAACCTTACACAACCATCTTAGTATGCAAGTTTGCTTTTCCTTTTAATAAATAGTAAAATTGGGGCTGGAGAGATGGCTCACAGGTTAAGAGCACTGCTTGCTCTTCCAGGGGTCACAAGTTCAATTCCCAGCAACCACATGGTGGCTCCCAACCATCTATAATGAAATCTGGTGCCCTCTTCCTGGCATTCAGGTGTACATGCAGGCATAACGTTGTATACATAATAAATAAATAAATCTTTAAAAAAATAAAAAAATAAACAGTAAAATTATATATGCCAAAGAACTGAGTTTTAAATTTATAATTTATTATCAATTAATGTTTGAATTGCATACCTATTTGTATACAGGAGACCACACAAAAATTTTTTGGTTGAAAGAATTCAGAAGCCAAAAATTGTATTAAGAAGCCCTGTGCTGTGTTAGGTATAATAGTGCAAGCCTTTAATCCCAGCACACAACAGGCAGAGGCAGGTGGAGCTCTTGAGGTCAAGACCAGCCTAGTATATAGAGTGAGTTCCAGGCTACACAGAGAAACCCTGGCTTGGAAAAGAGAGAGGGAGAGAGAGGCCTTGTGCTAGAGAGTGCTAGCCGTGTGGCTGATTGCTTGCTCACCATCCTTAGCTGAACTAGCATACCATGAGGTAAATGCAAATGCAAGATGAACTTGAGTCCTCAAGAACAGATTAAACAGCAGAACAACAATGTGTTAATTAGCCCTCTCAGTTCACAGAGACACTTGAAGCCACAATGAAGGGACCTTCCTTTCTTCCTTAGTCAAAACTACATAACAACAACAACAACAAAAACCCATTAAGGTGATAATGTTGAGCTCTGATCATATCCATAGCAGAAATCTCTGGTTTCTAGAGAGCCTGTGCCACAGTGTATTGTACATGGGTGCAGCACACGCCTTGAATCCCAGCACTTTGGGAGGCAGATACAGGTGGGGCGTAAGTTTAAGGCCAGCCTGTTCCACACATGGAGCTCCAGGCCAGCCAGGGCTGCATGGTGAGAGCTGTCTCAGTCAATTCATTAACTCTCCTTCAAGTACAGTACCTGAGAGGTTCGTCAATGTTGACCGGTTTTGGCAGCTGAGTGACTGACATCAGACACAATTATAACCTAAAAATAGAAAATCAATTTGACATAAAAGTCACTTTCCTGTTGTTACTTTTAGTCGGATGTAAAGCCAGGGGAAAATGATATTATCAACTATTACACGCACTGTTGCATCTTTTTAAAAAGTATAAATGACCCCTCAATTCAAAGGAGAATTATTTCCCCTTTTTAAAAAATATAAATGACCCCTCAATTCAAAGGAGAATTATTTCCCCTTTTTTGAAAGTCTCTTTTTATTCAGAAAGTAATATTGACTTCTTGCACAAATTGTAGGATAAAGAAAAGTCAGAAGGAAATATGTTATCTTGTTACTCAGAAGTGTTAATTTTCTCGTTTCCTCCCAGGATTTTACCTTTACACCCATCCTGTTTACATTTAAAGATCCAGCTGTAAATGACGTGTGTCCTCCTTTTTCTCTGAACTCTGTAACTTAGGTATTCTCCCAGGCTTTAAAGAATTCAGATCCCCAAGAAAATTTTCAAAAAACCTAAATCACCATACATTCAGTACTGTACATTTGAATCAAGTGTAAATGTGAGTTAAACATATCAACAGTAGGATGAACATAGGAAAGAGGGAAGGTTTTATGTTTTAACTTCTATTGTTAATAGCTCAAATGCAGAATAGATTAAAAAAAAAAAACAAAAATTATTTTTAAGCCATTCTTCAGACTGTAGAATTTCACCTTCGTTGGGAATCATCTCTCCCTGTCAACCACACAGCACATGCTATCTACCCATGCACGTGGCCGTGTTGGCTTTGCCTGACAAAATGAAAAGTATTGGGAATTGCCCCCGGAAACACGCCAGAAGATTCTTAGATTCTCAAAGGCTCTTGAGTTTTACATATTTTCCCAGTTACACGAGTGAAAAGGAATTTCATGGGAAGACTTGACATGGGGAGCAGCTGCAGGGTTTTTGAATGTGTCTTGGGCCCTGTAGAAGATTCTAAAATTTCTATGAATTCATTGGACAGTTTTTTAAAGTCTGAATTTCACACTGGAGAAAAATAAAGAGCCTGTCATGTTGGTTTGGTTTTGTTTTCAGAGTGCTGAATACCTGATTTAAATTTTTTTTCTTTAAGTGTTTCAATCTATTAGTTTGTTGCAATATAGAAATAACAGTACTGACTTTGTAAAAGTTTCCCTCTCTGCCTTACGTAGCCATTTGAACAAGAGTGAGGTTTTCTTTAAGTTGTACTAATGGCAGACTAGGACACAGATCATTAGGAGAAACCAGTACCAACAGGGTCTTTTGAACCCTTTGCCCCCGTCAGCTGTAATGGAAAACACAACCAAATGGACTGTCACATTTATTGTTAGATAGTAAAGGCTTTAAAACCCTTCCAAATCATAAAGATGCCTGGGGTGAAGGATACATATTTATAGCTGTATGCTCATGTAACTTTGGAGTTCATGGTCAGGCCATGCATGGCTGGTGCCCATGATACTGTGACAAAGTTCAGTTTTAAATGTGCTTCAAATCTTTACCTCTCTCCTCTGTGTTAGGAATCCCTTTGACTTTTAAACAAACCTCTTTCCAGTTGTCACAGAATATCTTGGCAAATCTCTACTGCCATTAAGCGTGCACAGTAACTTGCCTAAGAAAAGGCTTCATGATGTTAGATTCTTTCGCTGTTTGTGGGGGCACTCCACAGGTGCCAGCAGTGCAGGAAGTGTGGGTATTTCTCCCCACCTCAGCAGTGGGCGCGTCAGAGTTCTCCTTATAATATCCTCAGAAAAGTCATAAAAATCACATGATGAATGTTGTAGATTCAGTCTGGCAGCAGGAGCTTGGAGACTGAGGAAAACTCACAGTCCCATTTCCATAGCAGAGAGGCCTTGCAGACACAGGAAAGGAAACTGAGCTTGAAAGTTGCTCCTTTTGAGACGAACTCGATGATTTGGGATCTGAGCTAAGGATATGGGGAAAGAATTAAACCAAATTTTGATATCAAATACAGGGGTAGGGCGAAATAAACTTTTATTGTCGCTCTCCTTTTATTGCTTCCAATAAATACTTCCTACTTTGTGATTCTCCTGTATTGTGATGGTTGGCAGCAAGCTGCACGGCCCTGTGTTTCCAATTAAGAATTGGATGGCTGGCTGAAGTTTGAGGTCATCACTGGGCGTATCCCCTTCAGCACAGCCAGCATATCCTTGGGGGAGAAAATGGAATCCTCCACGTGACATGAAGCACAGCATTGATCCCTTGTAGCATCTTTACGGGGTTTTGCAAGACGGTGATTCTGTCAATGGTGGTGTTCGTTTTGTATCTAAAAAAGTATGGATTTGACTCAGAGCCTTGAATAACAGTTTTCACTTTGACTCCCCTTGGTTGGGCGCTATTTAGACACTTGGAGAGAGCAGCCTGCTGAGCTCCCTTCCCGTGACCTGGGCACTTCCAGTCTAGTTCATCAAATAGTGTCTGATTGGCTCATCAGAAGCCCCTGCTCCAAAGTGGTCAGCAGCGGCTTCCTCACCACATTCATCAGCTCTTCTTGGTCCTTCGCCTCTAAGTGTTCCTTCCTTCTCCAGGCTCCCTTTGGTCCTTTCTGCGTGTTCCTGAAAGGAAAACATACCAATGAATCTATCCTTATCTTTGTTCTCACTGAGGTTACCCTGCCTGGGTGTCCTTGCCCATTCAGTGCTTCCAACAGTTGGCTGTAGCCGCGATTTCCAAGTATAGGAAAAGCCCAGGAAAGCAGATGAACGTGTAGAGCTCACCCTGCATTTCAGCTAGGTAATATTTATCTGGTAGTCATGTCCAGCTTAGATCTCCAGTCTGGAGGAAGCTTCCCTTGATGTCCCAGAGCGAAGGCGACCTCATCTCACTTGCTCTTAATACAGTGCCTGCCCTGTTTCCCAACTTGGTGTTTATCACAGTTGCTATAATCGCCGAGTTATCTGTACGTCCCATCGGTTGGAAGTCCTGGGAGGGAGACACACAGTCTAACAGGATCGTTTCTGTGTTCCAGGGTCTAGCCCTGACTCATGACAGAACTGAATAAATATTTACTGTATGAATGACTGACTGATCCTGTCACGGGTGTTCTGAGCAGCTGGGGACAGAGATGTATCTGAAGTCATGCCTTCCTCCTTGTGATAATACACAGCACCAGAGTTTTTAGGTTGGGAAACTCTGTCACTGGAGTTGTTGTGGCTAAGTTTCCTAGACACCCTGGCTCACACCATTTGACTCATAAAAGATGAGGTCGTAAGCACTGAAGAGAAATTTAAAGAATGTTAGTGATGGCTAAAGTGTGCTGTAGAAAGGTGCCGTGGGGCCTTACTTGGGAATGAAAGATGGAAAATACAGCAATATTATGAATATGCAAAGATATGCCTGTGGTGCCCTGGAGAATCAGCTGCCTCAGGCAAGGGTTTCCTCCTGCCTGCTCAGTGGGACTCTGGATGTAACTAATCTAGCATTCAAAGGCCTGTTGCATAGGAAAAGAATAACCAGGCATTTCCAAACTTTTGACATTGAGACATAAATGGTGTTCTCTACAAAATTTGTCATTGCCAGTGGGGCCTTTGGGGTCCCTTCTAATCCTGAGAATCGGGCCCTGCCTTGCTTATTCAGGAACCTTTCACCAAGGACTTTTACCCACTCTGTACCCCAAATAAATAGCTCTGGAAAGCAGAAGCCAGGACAGCCCCCAGAGACTGATGGTTCCAGCTATTTTCCTGACTAGCTCTGCAGCTCCCTGAAATGAACATCATCAACCCTGTTACCTAGCAGTCTTCTTTTTGCTCAGATAGCCTCTCATTTTTGTACCTCTGGCATTAGCTTAAATGTGGCCTGTGCATGATACCCAGGAGCAATCCAAGAGGCCGTCTCAAGTATGCTGGAGGAGCTTTGCTCCCTGCTCATACCCTCAGCTGGATCTGAAACCTCAGCTTGGTTTTACTAAAGTTGTCTCGAAATTAAATCCATCCCTCTGTCCCCCAAATCAGGATCACGCCTACCCCGCTGGGAGAAGGGAAGAGTACAGTCACCATTGGCCTAGTCCAGGCGCTGACCGCCCACCTGAACGTCAATTCCTTTGCCTGTCTGCGGCAGCCTTCCCAGGGACCGACTTTTGGAGTGAAAGGTACTTTCCTTACCGACTGAGCTAGTTTTCAGAACAAACCTGGGTGGAGTAAAAGTTCAACTGAACATGAAGCGCAGAGATGGAGTTAAATGTTTGCCGAAGAGCTGGGGGGGGGGGGTTGTTTGTTTGTTTGATTGATTTAAACGTTCCTCTACCCCCTGAGCACTCAGGACATAAACGTCACCCTCAGCTGAACCTCCTGGTACGGAGAGGCATACAGAGGTTGTTGCGGGGTGGGGGCTGCCTTCTGTGGGGCCCCAGGAGACTGATCCCTTGGCGCTGTAGCTCAGGCCTCCTGTCTCCAGCAGCGTCTTCTATATCATCTCCACCTCCTTCGCCAAGCAGTTTTGAAACCCTGCCCATCTTATCAGTGTCTTATCATCCCAACCACAGTGAGAGGTCTCTTCCTGTACACATGAGCTCTCCAGGTCAGGCCCCAAGTCGCAGCTTGTGGGAGTTGTTGTGTGGGTCCAAGGAGCTCTGGAGACGGAACAACTGGCTGCATGCAGAGCTGTGAGGAAATTCCTCTCTGGCTTAGCTGAGCTGATGTCTGGCACCTTCCCTTTCATTACTCCTACTTGGCTGATTTACCATTAAGTCACCCTCAGCCCTGACTGCCGCAATTACTGCGTGTCCCTGGCAGTTTGTGGTTTTTAACTGTATTTTATTTATGTCACTGTTACAAATACTAATAATCCCTCACCCATTAAAAGCACCTATTTCTCCTGGAAGTCCCTGCGTTATGGAGCAGATTGAACTGAGACTTAGGGCAGAGGGGCCCTGGCTTTGTTCATGGCTGTCTCTCACCTCTGCAAGGTCAATAGAGCCAACCTTCAAGTCTGTGAACCACATCTAAAGTGGAAAAAGGCTTCTGGTTCCAGGCACATCTGGCTATGGTGAGACTCAACTGGGATGATAAGAAGAGGAAGGAGTGTTTTGTAAAATGACATACACTTGTGAGAGACAAATATCTTCAATAGGATAACTAATATAATTTTTGTCTGAAGTGTTCACTGGTGATTATTTTTTGGGTTTTTTGTGGGTTGACATTTCCGATGCTGATGATTAAACCCAGCAGCTTGGGCATGGCAAATGAGACCGAGCCATGTTCCCTGCCCCACAGACCATGGTTTGGGGTCTTTCTGAGGGTCTCGCTGTGCAGACCAGGAAGGCCTCAGGTTTGCAGTGATCCTCCTGATTCTGCCTCCTGAGTGCTTCACCGAGCCCGGCAGGTGGTCTGTTTTTATTTCGTGTATGATTTGTATGAAGCATAGCCACATAGACCCTGAACTAAGGAAATGACCTCGTATTCTGATACATGTGTTTTATAGTTACTGAAACTTGCTGTGTCTATATTTACCTTTAGAGGTGTTTTTTGTTTCTTCTTGGCTGTTTTGTTTGTGTGGAGCTAGGAACTGAACTTCTGGCCTCATGCACACTAGGCCAATATTCCACCACTGAGCTATATCTCGCTTTTTTGAAAGCAGAATCTTGCTAAGCTGCCCCGGCTAGCCTTGAACTCACTCTGTTGCCACGCTCTCACTCTATTTAATCCATGAAGCCCCTTTCATCCTCCCTGGTAGCTGCGATTGCAGCCTTTGTCAGACACAGGTCCTAACCTTTCTTTCTAATAGACAGAAGGCCTAAGACGGCAGCACTGGCTGCAGTTCCTGCTTTTGTTTCATTTCTGGTCTGTGTGGTCGGAGTCTCCCTGTTGAGTGTGTGAGTGGCGTCCTGAGGTCTGTGCCTCACCTCTCTGTACTTCCTGTGTCGTCTAGGAGGAGCAGCAGGCGGTGGATATGCTCAGGTCATCCCCATGGAGGAGGTAAGGCCATGCGACACGCCTGACATTGGTGGCGACAGATAGATGTGTGTGTGTGTGCTACTTGATGTGAATATTCATGTGCCACAAATACACACACACACTCACACACACACACACACTCACTCACACACACACTCACTCACACACACACTCACACTCACTCACACACACACTCAGTCACACACACACACTCACACACACACATACTCAGTCACACACTCACACACACAC